TACAAATTCAAAGCAGATGCCATTCTGAGAAAGCAGAGGAACTATGTCCTGTACAAATCTTTCTCCAGTCTCATCATTCAGAGAAATCACCCCAATCCACGTCCACCTGAAATACAGCAATAAATGAAGAATTCCCAGATTTTGATGGACCATATTTGGGAACATATGGTGGAAGAAAATAGATTGTGTTTTGTTGTCCATCTCTGGTGCAGAACCATAAGATATCTGAGCAAAGAAGAATAGGGAAAGAAAGGGAAAGACATTTGAAAACTAAAATCAGGCTGAATTTATTCTTCATAACATATTACTGAATGAATAACGTGGCTTGTCAACTAAAGTCACTGTTTGCCATAATGTGAAAAAGTGGCTCTACATTCTTATGTCATTGCTACATACAAAACCCCCCATTAATTATGTATCATTTCAATTCATACATTCCAAAGCATGTAATGAATTCCTTTCCCTTGAAATTGCCCATGAAAAGTACCTACCTTTACAGTAATGCCAGTTTTGGTCCCCAAACCATATCTGAAAGACAAGAAGTTTCATTCTCCCTTCATAAACCTTACCTGTGGGATCTTGTAGATACAGAGAATGGCTGCTGTGTGGAGACAGATGTCAGAGTTTGGTCCTGTGATGACTGCAACCGGATGGTTCTGGCCATCACACTTATAGTTGGGGATGAATCTGTCCCGTGTGGAGAGAAGTTCCATTGAGGCCAGATAGGTCCAGCTTGCACTGAAATGGCTGTTGTAGATGTCAAAGCCCAGAGTGATGTTGGGTAAGATCTGGGAGTTTTCATTGATTTCCTTTACAGCAAAGTCCAAGGCTAGGACCTGCTGGTAGTTCTGAGTCAGGATCCTGCAATAAAGGCAGAGAACCTCAAACTGAAAGGGAAGGTTTCTTCTGTCTGATTCCAGCCCAGCATTTACTACCTATAGCTATCTTTAACCAAGACACCAGAAAGATGACCCATGTAGAACATGAAGGGTCATATTTGAAAAAACCCCAGCATGTATAATACCTCAATGCTCTGAAAAGATTAAGAATATCTTTACCCCCAGGGAAGAAGGAAATAAATACAAATCTATTCCATGGAGCAAAAAGAACAAAAAAAAAAGACATGCATACACATTCAGAGCCATCAGATTAATTTCCCCCCATAAACTGCAAATCTGATCCTTCACCAGCAGAATGGAATGCTGAGTATCTCCTGTCACAATAAATTGTGATAGTAGAAACATCATTCTGCTGAACGAATCTTGAAAAGTGGCTGACGTAACAGATATAAGGCTAAAATTATACTAGGAAGTATGAAAGGAGAAGTCAACACATAGGAACAGCCCCTGGACTTGGAAATCAAGAATGGGGAGAGAGAACAAAATACAGGCCCAACCTTTCTCCACCCCTCTAAATCTCAATCAAATTTATGTATACAATTTGGTTAAAAGACCATTTTCTTACAAAAAGTCATTGAACAGTTCCTCAGATGGACGATTTTTAAATGTTATTGGATGTGGATCAATGTAGATCTGGGACGTAATGCCAGCAATGATGAAGTCCCCTGATTTATAGTATTTGTGAAGGATAGGAAGAGGCTCTGTGATGGGGCACAGAGGAACCTTACACAATGCCAAAGGGACTAACCCTAATGCCAGCACCGCAAACACCACCATCCTGGGTGAACATTTCCTTTTGGACACCAATTCAGCTATTCTGACAATATTTTTAAGAGTTTCTAAGTACCCCGACTTGAATGATCATGCAGCCAATTGACATCCTGTCTTTCATTGACTCAGAGCCCCAAGTGATGTATCCTTCTCAATCCTCACCCCCTGCCGTGAATGATTCAGGGAATATTAATAGCATCCTTCGGTCATGGAGAATGGTTTTTCTAGGAGCTGTTGATTTTCTTTAGGAACATGGAATAGATAGAGACATAATAGTAGTGATTTTGTTAATTGCAGGGGTGATAATGATCTACCCAGATATACTGCAGGAAAGAAAAAACATCCTGATGTCATTTCCCTCATATAATTTTTTTAAAAAAATATTATTATTATTCATATAGATAGAGACATAATAGTAGTGATTTTGTTAATTGCAGGGGTGATAATGATCTACCCAGATATACTGCAGGAAAGAAAAAACATCCTGATGTCATTTCCCTCATATAATTTTTTAAAAAAATTATTATTATTATTCATATAAGGAAGCAGCCACGTCACAATGAACTGATGGGTGGGCACTATCATGATCAAGAACTCTGAGCTGGACTATGGGATCTCTGGTCTAAATAGCACTGGCCCCACGCGACCTGTATTGAATACAATCTTTTTTTCAAAGATGGTGATATACATACAAGGCATAAGGCACAATAAATCCTTTTTGTGAGAACCTCTTAAAATAGCCACATTTTTTCTAGGGTCCCATCAGAACTGAAATAGAGAAAAATATAAATATATCAATGGAATTTCATACATTCTTTTTTATATTATAAATATTAAAAGATCTCACCCCTTGCGACAAGAACACCTTTTCCTTAAAGTGCCTGTGAGCCTTTTCATTTTTGTTCCAATATAAAATCATTGGAGCTCTGTCCTCATTAAAATCCCATAATTTACAGCAGTCGTGACATTTCTGACAATGTTTTAAATTTTAAGTATCCGTGCTCATCAGTCTCCCAAAGCAGACAATCATAGCACTGGTATTGTTTAACAAATAAATATCTTGGGGCTTCATCATCATTAAAATTTTGCAGTTTGGAACAGTCATGATACTTCAAACAATGCTGATCCACCTGTTTTACCTTTCTGACTAAATCAGAATTATGATAGATTTAGATCACTGATGGAATAACAGCATTGTGAAGGAAGGGGAAAGGTTAAAATCTTGCCCTGAAGTTTTGCCATCTTAAGCCTTTAATCTCTCATGTTGCTCTGGAGAGGGACCGTGTGTCCTGGGTGATGTTATTTTTTTTTCTTGCCCATTATATCAATTTTCCAGGCTGTTTAAGGACCATTATGGCCAGGCCAGAAAGGGGAGCTGGTTTGATACAGACTGCTGGGCTTTTAAAAGTATTGCCATTTTAAATTACACAACAATAAAGTTATACCTTATTGGATATTATTGATGAAATATGAATTCAGGACTGTTATTAAAAACAAGAAAGGAACTGCTTTAACGACTACCTGGAAGTGTTTGATTTGGTCCCCCAAGCAGGATGGTAGGAAGCCCCAAAAGATACCAACTATGAAACTGATGATGAAACAAAGAAGTCAGGAAGAAAAGGAAGGGCCACAGCAATAATCCAAGGAATGTAGAAACAAAACCATGGTGCCATGGGAATGATTTTCATTCATCTTATGTACCCCAAAGCATTCTGCTCAGTGCTTCTTCGGGGTGGGGGGATCTATACCTTTTTGCAGTGTCAGTGTTATTCCAAATCTACACAGAGTGAATAAAATCTATTCCCATGGCACCACTGTTCTGTTTCTTCATTCCTTGGGATCAAGTGAGGAAGAAAGGTATGAGGACAGAGTTCAGTGATTTCAGCAATGGAGGAAAGTTAGGAGTAGAGCTAACTACAAAGATGGGAAAGGCATCTGAAGATGTCAGCAGTGGCAATGGTTTGGAAGGTGGAAAAAAATGCAAAGTCGAAGGGATTTTTAGCTTCAGTGTTTTTAAACACTTAGAAGTGACTAGACATCAAGAAGGGAAGGTATAATTGCCCAATGCTATGCAAGGTTCCAAATCCATGTCAGGCATGGATCAAATATCGACATTCTAGGTGGGATCACTGGGGAAAGCCAGACAACTTAGTTTAACTGAGTTACCTGACCAATGGGAATAGCTTGGGTTGGGCCGGTTGAACAAAGACTGAGCAGCAGTTTTTGACATTCCCTGGAAAAGTGATTGAGTTACAGAAGAACTTAAGAATATGAAGAGGGTTATTGGGTCCAGGAAATGTGAGTGAATGATTCATGGCCAAGGGTCTGAGGATGCTCTCTGAAGGCTTTAGAGAAAGAGTCCTTAATCAAAATGCTCCTTGGAGCATTTCAACACATGTGCCATTCCTGATATTTTATCAAGGCCTCTGGTAGTCACTTCAGAGGATATTTCATAGAGAGATGGGCAGAGGTATGGAGGGGACTCCCTTGCATTTTGCAGTTTAAGAAGAGAACTTCAAATGAAGAAACGAGTAGACCTCAGTCTCTTCTTCTGACTGTTCATGATATGGAGGTAAAGTAGCTTTCTTGCTTATGTACCATTTGATCATTCTTTTCTTATGCATGCAATTAGAATGTGCAATTGATTTCTTTGGGGCTGTAAAATAGGAATAAAGATGAATGCTCCAGGAAAGTTCCAGGAATGCAAATTATACATTATGCATTTGTAAATGTTGGGTTCAAAGGAAAGCAAATTACAGTCCATTTGGGATTCACAAAAGCATTTATTTCCAATGTGGTCTTATAATTTCTTATGCAACCATTAATACAATATGTACATTGGGTGATATTACAGTCAGGAAGAAATCATAAAGCACTAAAAGTTATAGGTATAAAGGAGTAGTAACACTCACATTAAAAAGACAGTTAAAATTTGAGAAAGAGCCAAACAGACATCTTGGGAATGATATCGGGCACATGGAACACAAACAGAATAGACAAGTAACAAACTTTTGCAAGCACAGCAGTGAGCATGCTATTTGTTTTCCAGACAATGTAGATCAGCTACTTTTAGTAAAGACTATATTGATGACAGAAATAC